CTCGCTTGAGCCCAGGAGTTGGAGGTTGCTGTGAGCTGTAATGCCACGGCACTCTACCCAGGGGGACAGCTTGAGGCTCTGTCTCAAAAAAAAAATAAATAAAAATCTAGTTATCCCTGGAAGTCGGGGACAATGTTACTCCTTCCAAAGAGGTTTCTAGCTGAAGAAACCCAGCTATCAAGTGCCCATGCCCTTCAGGATGAAATCCTGGTTCCAGCATCAGTCCCAGAACAGGATGCATGTTGAGTCCCTATTCCCAGCACAGCAGGCCTCTCCCCCCAGCCCACCAGGCAGCTTCTGTCCCATCTCACCAGCTCACATGATCTGAGGGCAGCTTCACTCGCTCACCTGCTCACTCCAGCAGCAGGCCCCCTGCACCTGGTCCTGCCCACACCTTGTTTGGTACCCTGAGAGCTGTTTCCAGCACTGTCCAGTGGTTTCCAGGTAAAGGCTTATTTGTTTGCTGAGTGGATAAATAAATAAATGATAAAAGTCCCACAGAGACCCATGTTCCCTGGAGGCAGAAAAAGCAAATGATTCCTATGCCCAAAGGTTTCACATTCCCTTATGGGTAAAGAGGTCAAGGGCATGAAAGGACCGGCCTGGGGTGGACTTGGGCAGAGCCAGATATGTCCTGTCCTCACAAGGGGACCAGGTGTGCCCCTGGGTCCACTGCTGTAAGTGACTCTGGCCCCCGCTCCCCACCCATAACCCATGTACCCCTTGGTGCCGTCCATGCAGTCCCAGACCCCCAATCACCACAGGCCACCCAGGGGTCCTGCTCCCCAGGCAGGGTGATGCCCGTGTATACTCCCAGCGCTCTGAACTGTACACTTCACTCATTTGTTCATTCCCCCATAGATTCTTAGCCAAGGGCTGTCCACCTCGCTCCTCCTCTAGTTGATGCCTCCTGGAAGTGTCCAGACTGCAGATGCCCAGGTCCCTCCTCCTGAGTTTCAGGGCTGGGTACAACTGGCACCAACTCCAGGACTGCCCGGAAGAACTATTTAGTCATCAGCTGTAAGTGCTACTAATTGTCCTCTGTGCTATCTATCTGCTCCATCCATCTCACCTGCACAACCAAATAGCTCAGGACAGGCTGGGACATTGCAATCCAACTTTGATCTCGGAAGGAGTCAGCACTGGTGACAAGCAGGTTCTACAGCCCAGGGCCACAAGGGGTGGTCTGGACTCCAGCAGAGACTCCTAGTACCATTGGGCTCCCACCTGGAAGGCTGGAGCCCAGAGGGCTTACAGGTATGTTTCTGTGGAGGTGTGTGGATCATGGATGGAGTGCCAGGAATGCTGAGCTCCAGACTGAAAACCTGTCCTGCTTCAGGCCACTGATGATGTCAGTGGGAGTCAGTGGTGGACTTGGCTTTTTGGTTTTGTCTTTAATCTGAAAGGCTCTGCTATCCCATTTGCAAACAAACTGGCATGATTCCCCCTACTGAGAGTAGAAATGATTTGCCAAGTCAGAAAGCAGAGCTAGGACTGCAACCCAAGGCTCCTGGTGCTAAAGACTGTACAGTCCCCAGGAAGGGGTTGTTCACGTTGCTTTTACGGGGTAGGGAGAGACCTCGATGGCAAACAGTTGAGGCCAGGAGGCATGGAGTTGGAGGGTACATTCAGGAGGCAACAAGTGGTTGAGTGAGGCTGGTTCCAGGCAGATTAGGAAAATATTTTGTATTTTGTCTTCTAGACAAAAAGGAGCCAGCAAAACATTTTAAGCTGGTGGACAACAGCATGATTAAATGTGTCCCACTGAATTAGAGACCCAGTACATGTTTGTTGAAAAACAAGAAAACAGCTAAACTCCTAAGAGTAGTATTTCACTTTTCTGACTGAGTTTGGCTGGGGGGCAGGGTGTAATAATTCATATTACCACCTAGGTGACACCTTAGCTGTGTTAGGTCAGGCTGTAGAGGAGCTTTGGTTTGGTTTGATTTGCCCCCAGAGTTCACTGAGGACTAGCATCTTGTTTGAGTCTCGTAGGAACCTTAAACTGTAATTATGGACTGTTTGTCCCGTCCAACAGATAAGGAACTGGGGGGTCTGTGATTAGCAGGGCGGTCCCTGTAGTAAGTGGAGGAGTGGGATCTAGGTCCAGATCATCTGGACATTCTGCCAGATGGATGGATCCAGCCTGCCCTGCACAGACTTCTAGATCCCAGACTGGTGTGACAGGCCTGGAAACTGGCCCATCCCAGCCCATACTCCCTGGGAAGGCTGCCCACTGTCGTCCTCATCTCATGGTAGGCAGTGCCTAGGGAGCCTGTGAGTGACCAAGTGACTTCACAGGAGCAACCTAGAGAGCTAAAATAAGGCTTGTGTACACTCCAGAAATACTCTGCTGAAAGCATCAGTTGACACTGAAAATAAACCTGACTGCTGGCTTCCTGCCCCGGGGAGGGAGGGTGGGACCAGAGAGCCACACTTGAGGTCCCCACATCCTTTCATTTCAGGAAAATCAAACTCTTCTCCACCCCTGGCTTGTCTTGAGACTTTTGAGAATGTTCAGGCACAGCAGGAGGTGACCCTCCCATTTACTCATTCATTCACTGGCAGGTGTGCATGGTCTCCCTGCCTATGCCAGGCTGTTCCTGGCATCAGGGCAGATGGCAGGGAGCAGGCAGCCTCTGCTCTGCTCAAGTGTGCTGTTGACATGGTATGAGAGCTCAGGGAACCACTTTCCCTCAATAAAGAGGGGACAGGATGATTGTGCTGAGCCCTCAGCCAATTGTCACCCTAATCAGTCATTATCTGCCACTCACTTGTATGGTCTCAGCTGTGAGCTTAGCCTAGCAAACAGTGTGGATTTCTCCCCGGAGCCTCTGACTCCTGACATCCCTCCTTTCATACCCCCACCCTCATGCTACAAACCCTCCTCATTCTTGTGAAACCCCCTGCAGACCCAAGAGCCCAACCTGTGGCCTTGGGTCCTACTTCCAAAGCCAACAGAGGCAGTAGGCAGGACCCCTTGTCACACCCCTCTGAGGCTAGTGAGCTTTCCAGGGATGGCTCTGTCCCTGCGTCCTTCTTAGAAGGAAGGTGCCCCGAACCCCACCTCCCTCAGCCTCCCACCTGGCCCAAGCCCTGGCTCTCTCCTAGAACAAGCACCAGTTTCCTCCCAGGGCTCCTGCCTTAGTCCGTGCAAGCTGTCACATCCAGCCAGTCCTCTTCTTCAGTAACATGAGAACTAGAAATCTGTGGTTTCCTAGGTCTACTAATTGGGGCCTTTGCAGGACAGATGCTGAGATAGACTCCCTACCTGCATGGGCTTTCTCCTGCACCCCAGGGCCCCTGGTCATGGAAAAGGCAGGTGCAGTGGTAATCCCAGCACTCTGGGAGGCCCAGGCAGGTGGATCTTCTGAGCTCAGGAGCAAGAGTAAGTCCCCTGTATCTACTAAAAATAGAAAAACTAGCCAGGCATTGTGGCAGGCACTTGTAGTCCCAAATACTCAGGAGGCTGAGGCAAGAGGATATCTTAAACCCATGAGTTTGAGGTTACTATGAGCTATGATGCCACAGCACTCTATCCAGGGTGACAGAGCAAGACTCTCTCAAAAAAAAAAAAAAATCATGAAAATACCTCTTTCCCTGAGTGGGGGCAGAGGGAAAGTGGACCTGACCCCCAGGCCTCTGCTCCCTCCCTCTATCTGCCATCTGGAGGCAGCTGGCCCTGGTTTAACAAGATGTTCCAC